CTTTTGGTCGTGTTCAAGTAGCAGTATTATGTTTAAAGCTTGTATTTGGGTTTTTGCCAGCAAAGCGGGAGAGGGATTCTGTGTTAGGAGCTGCTGGTGATAGGATAAGGAGTAATGGGGATAAAGTGAAAAAGGGAAATTTAGATTAGCTATTAGGGAGAAACTTTTTCCTGTGAGGGTGGTGAGACACTGGCACAGGTTGCCCAGGGAGGCTGTGGCTGCCCCAACCCTGACAGTGTTCAAAGTCAGGTTGGATAAAGCCTTGAGCAACTTGTTCTGGTGGGAGGTGTCCCTGCCCAGGGCAGGGGGTTGGGATTAGATGATCTATAAGGTCCATTCCAACCCGTTAACATTCTATGATCCTAAAACAGAACCATTGCTTATTAAAACTGATTCTTTGTGTGTGCTCCTCAGTGGAGTAAAGTGGGAGATGGCAAATGGGTTTCGTTGTCTGATAAAGGTGAGGAAAGAATTGACATACTTTTAATGGGGATGATATGTCAGATTTACTATGGATATTTGTGGTTTAAGTCCTAGAATGGCCTGGGTTAGAAGGGACCTTACAGATCATCTAATTCCAATCCACCTGCCATAGGCAGGAACACTTTCCACTAGACCAGGATGTTCTAAACTCCATCCAACCTAGCCTTGAACACTGCCAGGGTTAGGGCAGCCACAGCTTCTCTGGGCAACAGAATTTGTTGCAGACTACAGTATTGGTTGTGTATGTAGCCACAGATGGTGGTAACTTGTGACAGGTCTTGTAGAGTTGTGGAACAAGGAGAGATGTTCATCACTGACCGCTCATAGTGTAAGGCAAGCAATGACAGGTGTGTACACAAAGGTGGGAGAATACAAAACACTAATTGCATATTATTTGTTAGTATGACAGTGATAGCATTATGGACAGCCTGTCACCAATAGTCTTTGCACAAGTAACAGCAAAAAGAAGCCATAAAGTAGCTGAAATATGTGTTGGGTTTTCTTTCAGATTAACTTTCATGTTGTTTTTATATGGATTGGTCTGTTTAATAATATGTTTTTCAACGGGTGCTCACAGTGGGCTGAAATCGTGTTGCATTTAGGTTTTATATTGTAAGGACTGAAGTGTGTCTCTATCTGGAAGATAGAAACTACAGATGTAGTTTTAATTCTGTAAATATGAGTAATGTGGGGTTTTTTTTGCACACCTGTAGAAAGAGAAGTGTATGTAACCAAAGCATTGAGGAGTATGGCTCATCAAGCTTTCTTTTCACCATGTCAGCATACCATGTAGCTTTTGTTTTGTATACTTGAAGGAATCCTGCTGGTCATAAAGAGCCCAGACATTTTTTTGTGAGTGTGCTCTTCCTGAAAAATAAAGAGCAAACCCCTAGTGAAGGTGTGAGTGGTGAATATGGCAGTGGTGAGTTGCCATGTTCCTTATAATTTCTGTTTGAGGTATGTTCAGAATGAATATGTGATTTTTTTGGTGTGTTTTTATTTGGGTTTTTTTTAGTTTGTTATTTTTAATGTTTTTTTAAAAATTTTTTTAACTGGGTGTTTATCATAGTGTCTTTTCCTTTTTTTTTTTAGTTTGTTATTTTTAATGGTTTTTTAAAAATTTTTTTAAATGGGTGTTTATCATAGTGTCTTTTCCTTCTTTCTCATAGTTAGTCTGGAGATCTCTGCTTCAGTAATGGAAAGGCCCTGCACATCCACCCCTTGAAGTCAGAATCCATGCCCAGTTTAAGCTTGGACCTATTTTGTAGGAGAAGTGATTTTTAGGAAGTCATGTACCTACTTGAAGTAGGTATAAGACAAAATGGTCTTAATTTTTTTATCTGCTTCTATCAGCGAACTGGATCATAGTTGCTAGGTTATATTACAAGCATGCCAATCTGAAAAGTACAACTGTGTATGTGTTACTGGTTTATTTACTGATGTGGCTGTCAAACTGCCTTTTGGGACAAAATTGGAGATGTGGGGTTGTTTTCTAGTTTGTGGGGTATGGAGAGAATAGGAATAGACAAATTTCTGAGTGAAGAAAAACCTTCAGGCAGGCAAATCTTGTTGGATGTTCTGGTTTGAATTCTATCAGTTGATTTAGCAGAATATATTTCTGTCTAAACATACCTTAACCTTTTGATTTTCTAATCAGTGCCACTGTATAATTGGTAATACCTAACCACATTGGGATAAAATCTACTCCTTCGTTGTGCAAGTGGGATTTTTCTTGTTTCTTAATGCATCCATCATTCTGATATCAAATACTAATCTTGTTTTTATTATGATTCTTGCTGCTTAGATTCTTGCTGCTTAGATGTACACAGAGAAGATTAAACTTGCTTATTCTTATCCAGAAAATGCTCGTGACCATGACTTGCTAAAGGTTGAGAAGTCAGTTACTGGGTTTGTGTTACATCCTCAAACTAGTTTTCCAATGGCAGCTCTTACAGTCTGCTCTTGTCAGCAGCCAGGTGTCTGTCATGTGTTCATGCACTCTGTATTTCATCTGTCTCTTTCTTTTTATGAGCATGGATGTGCACTAACACTAAACACTTCTAATTTAGAAAATCTCTTTCTTGCTTTTGGCTAACTTGGTTGGAGAGAACATGTTTCTTCTTTCCAAACCTTTCTGTTGGAGCTACCTTATCAATTTATCATGGAATCATAGAATGGTTTGGGTTGGAAGGACCTTAAAGATCAGGTAGCTCCAACTACCCTGCCATGGGCAGGGATACCTTCC